TGTATCTGATACAGATACTTAGTATCTGATACTGATACTGAGTATCTGATACTGATACTGAGTATCTGACATTTTCCAGTGATGTGTAACAATGTGGACTTTGTATCAGACTGTTTGTAGATGACAACCTATACCTGTACCAAACCTGACCACCTCGGTCCGTTCAGAAGACACACACTGAGGCAGAGACAGAATGAGAAGGAGGGGGGCTGAAACTCCCCCCTCTGTACCTCTGAGCAAGGCAGCAACAGACTCATCTAGATCTTTGAGACTCTACCTGTAGCTCCCAGAAATCAACAGGAAACCTGAATGCACCATCTGTGTGTTAACACAACACCCACACAACTTGTAACTTCCCTCTGTATCAAACAGTGAAGCCAGTGTCCAACATGGAGACACACCTGAGCAGAACTGAACACACTGAGGGGGGCTCTGGTTCAGGTAAACCAGGAACCAGACCTGAACCAGACCAGCTCCCATCAGAACCAGATGAACACTAACCTGGATGTCCAGACACTGCAGCACCGAGATACAAAAGGTGGCCGTCTTTCCTGTTCCAGACTGAGACCTGCAGAGGTCAAAGGTCACCTGTTAGTCAAAACCACAGGTCAGGGACACATTCAAAGGACAGGTCAGAGGACAGATCAGAGGACAGATCAGGGGTCAGAGGACAGATAAGAGGACAGATCAGAGGACATGTCAGGGGTCAGAGGACAGGTCAGGGGACAGATCAGAGGACAGATCAGGGGTCAGAGGACAGGTCAGGGGACAGATCAGAGGACAGGTCAGAGGACAGGTCAGGGGTCAGAGGACAGATCAGAGGACAGGTCAGAGGACAGATCAGAGGACAGGTCAGAGGACAGGTCAGGGGACAGATCAGAGGACAGGTCAGAGGACAGGTCAGGGGTCAGAGGACAGATCAGAGGACAGATCAGAGGACAGGTCAGGGGTCAGAGGACAGATCAGAGGACAGATCAGAGGACAGATCAGAGGACAGAGGACAGATCAGAGGGCAGGTCAGGGGTCAGAG